TAAGTGCAATTTGAATTTTTTTTCAGTGCCATCAATTCTGGATCATATGCTAACTCTTGGAATGATTGATCATTGGCCAGTTCTTTTTGGTACAGTAAATCTGTATATTCCTTTGAATTTTTCTACCTCATTAAATATTTTGTCCTTAAAATCCTTCAATATTTTAAGTCAAAGCTTGAATTTTTTCTTCAAACATTTCAGCTGACAAATACTAAGCATGCTCTTCTCTGTCATATTAACAGATGAAATAGTTAATCTAAAATAGAGAGTTACATATAAAAACAGAATCCTTGTGCATAATTTTTTGAAAGCTGTGTGTCTAATAGTAGTGACAAGATCCTGTGATTATAACTAATTTATCAGTGACATAGCACATTATTCTCTGATTTTATCCTTGTAGAAACTCTAGGAAGTCAGTGTTGTGTTATTTGCTGCTTTACACGAAATAAGACTAAGTCTGAACTGGTCAATTAAAGAACCAGAAGTAGATCTCCACAAAAGCGGGAACTGGCATTCCTGTTACAGCACCATGATTACTTATAGAAAACCCCAGTGTGAAAAGTTTTTTGTTTTTGTTTTTTTTCCTTTGAAGTGCTACCACATGGACCACTACCATCCAATTATTGTCCTGGGAACGAAGATCTGGTAGTTAACCTTGTAATTGGACTTTCTGAACATCCATGGGGAAACAAAAGCAAAAACTACTTTACATTCTATTTAAGAGTTTTATTGCAGGTCAAGAAAATGGTGTTAGCTTAACTACTAAAGAATGTCTGCCTTGAGCATTGTGCCCATTTAAGATCTCTCTATATGGGACAAATTGACAACAACAACTCAAAAGATTAGGTAGGAATCTTAGAGGGCTGTGAGTTTATGTCAGCGGAGGAGTAACTACTCAGAAATGGAGAATGAGAATGTTTGCATAATTCAAAGAATATATCACTGAATATTCATTGAATATTTATCACAGTATCATACATGTAGAGATTGTTGAATTGTTGTATAAGGCTTATATACTCTCAATAACAACAACAACAACAAAACATTAACTATAAAAAGTTAATTTACAGATCAGATGTTTTTCAAAAATAGTGATTTTTTTTTTCTGAAAAAATGAAAGCTATGTTAACCAAGGGGAACACCATGACTCCATATTATAAACACTCGACTATGGACCACAAAGTCCAAAGTTTAAACTCATCGGCTGCTTCATGGGAGAAAGATAAGGCTTTATGCTCCCGCTAAGATTTAAAGCCTCAGAAATACTAGACAGGGTCCCTATGAGTTGAAACCAACTCTATGACACATGACAACAACAATGTTAGTCAAGACCTAGTTAAATTAGAAAATCATATCCCTGCCTTTTCTGTTTCATTACCGGGTTATGAAAATAACATTCAGGATTTAAATGCAACTGTGTCTGTACTCTCATTTTAGGTAATATTTCAATAGTGTAGGGTGGAACAAGATGTAGGAATTTAGGTCCATTCATAAAATGTTGTTTTCACCATTGTTAAGTGTCATCAGATTGTTTCTGATTCTTGACAACCCTGTATAGAGTTTCTGAGGCATAACTGGCAGTTCTGAACTGTAAACATTGCGATTAGCAGTCCAGTGTTTATACTATAGCATCATGTTGTTGTCAAGTGCCATCGTGTCAAGTTCTGACCCATAGAGACCCTGTATAGGGTTTCCAAAGAGTGGCTGGTGATCTTGAACCACCGATCTTGCAGTACAAACTGATTTTACAGTCTAGCGCATTAACCCACAGTGCCATAGCATCATGTTGTTCTTGTTGTTAGGTGCCATTGAGTCGGTACTGACCCATATTGACCTTATGCACAGCAGAACGAAACACTGCCCAATCCTGGGCCAACCTCACTACTGTTGCCATGCTTGAGTCCATCGATGCTGCCTCTAGGCCAATCCATCTTGTTGGGGGTCTTCCTCTGTTTCTCTGACCCTCCACCTTACCAAATATGATATCCTTCTCCAGCGACTGGTCATTCCTGACAATATGTCTGAAGTATGAGAGAGGAAGTTTGGCAGTCTTGGCCTCCAAGGAGCACTCTGGCTGCAAAATCTTCCAAAACAGATCTACTGGTTCTTTTGGCAGCCCATGGCACTTT